CTTATTTGTTCTACTCGGTAGTACAGTAAGGCTATCTCTTAGTAGCGTGCGTTAAACTTCCTATATTTCTAAAAGGCGTAGTATCTTTAGCTTGTAAGATTGCACTCGCACTGTGTATAGATTCCTTCTGCAGCTGCTTTGTGTACTTCGTTAAAGCGTAATATTAGTTCTAGTTAACTAGGCAGGAGCTGTCGCTGAATAAATCTATTCCTTTGTGGGCAGGCTGGCTACACTTCTTCATCTGTGACTATAAGTGTTAACATTTTGCTATATCACTTGCTCGGTAAGACGCGGAGTAAACGCGCGTACATTGTTGCGTGAGCGGGTCGTGTCTGGGTCTGCCTGTGGCGATAAACGTATAGACACTAGCCACTATACTGTGGCGATCACGAACGCTTGAGCCAGAACGAGAAGGACTTGCGGTACGAGAAACTAACTATTAGACGGGTAAAGTCTACGCATTCGTTACGCAAGCGTTATAATTGTTAAACTTACCAATAGTTGTAGCGTGCTACTGCTAGCAGTTCCTGAATCGTGCCTGGTTCAGTTGTGAGCTTCGTGTTGTAAGCCACTCTGTATTATGGCTTCCGACTACGTTTCGGCTCATAGTGATAATTATACCATCCCGCGTTTTGGCGATAGATGCCGGCTAGATGATAGTTGTGATGGCATCACAGAAATGTCAATTAGTATGATATGTATGGTCTATAGGGTGATATTACAATAGACTGATCGAATGATGGAGGGGGAATAGAGCAGTAATGGCACAGTTGATTAAAAATTAACTGCAGATGAGGTTCATAAATCGTAATGCTCGTAATATGATGTGATTGTGGTTGGGGCGAAGCGGAGGCAACCTCTCCTGCTGCCCGGCCTTGACGGTGGCGGAAACCTGAGTGGCGCAGGCTTCCTGACGGGCACATCGAAGTTATTACAGTCGTCACTGTCGTCGGGTGTCGGTGTGGACTGCTCATCCCACTGCTCCGGTGTGCTCCGGTGTGGCGTTTGCTTGCCTCCCGTCTCTATCAATAGCTCTCTCTCTCGCAGCTTGTCTGGACCAGAGTGACGTGGAGCGGGTAGCTCTTGTGCTCCTCTCCATTGTCCATATTGTAGGTGGGTAGTTTCTGATGTTGGATTAGCAATGTTAATGTTAACAACAATTTTAATTCAAATAGCAAAACGTCGCATCATTCAAGGTTATATTTAATGGTGTTAAGTGACCATCAACAAAACTCTATTACTTTAGCAAGAGCACACAGCATGCTACGTAAAACGAAAGCAATTAAACGAACAGAATAATCTCACAAGCTTTAATAGGTTACGATTAAGATGCAGCGTGTAAGCTTGCAAATATCTCTAAATCAAACTATACTCATTCCGCTGACAACACATGTGCATATATGGTGACACGCAGAGCTACTAGGTCTACTGTAAAAGTAAGGAAATTAAAGAATTACGCAGACGACAATCATAGCAACACAAAATTTCTACACAAGTAAGCTACCAAGCGTGACCAGCGATGAATAAATAGAAAAAAACGCGAGCATACTTCAGCAACTGAACAACACTCACTCAGCTGACTCAAACACATCTCACACGCGTATTGTGATCGCGTATGTGGTTCCAACACAGGGCTTGACGAAGAGATTACATGATTACGCTCAGATTACGCTCAGATTAAATGATTACGCTACGCCTTCTTTATATACAGGCGTTAAACCTTCCTTCCATATACTGCATCTGCTAATGTATCGAAAGCAATGTCCAAATCTTTATGGTTATACAAAGAATCTGGAACACTAGCAATCCGATTGCTATTCTCGACCAGCCTGAGCAACGCTGAGAAGAGCTGAGTGTCCTGTAGGCCTCCGCTATATAGAACTCCGTAACGTGAGTCCGACCTAAATCCGTATTTAACTTAGCAAAGGCGCACTTCTATTTAAGAAACAGAGTAACGAAGCACGCTATCTGTTCCGTATCAGTTACAGCCCCGCCGAACGCGAAAATTTCCGCATCAATCCCCGCAATTCAGCTAACTTCCATGCTTCATCTATACTTTCCCCTATCGCATGAAGGGAGGGACGTAATATATATACGTAATATCGGGGCTTGCCCAAACAGACGTTAACTGCGTTATAATGAAGCCAGATTCAGCTACAACAATTAATTATCTCCAGCCCAACATACTGCACGTAAATACATATACACACTCAGACAATGATCTTAACTACATTTAATACAACACATATACCATTCGTGTTTCTCAGCAACAATGTATTGCTGGTGACAAACTTTGGGAGTCATCATCTCCGGACTGCAATGTCCCGTCGAGAGTGTGTTGTCATAAGCCAATATCAAATTTTCATTTTTGTACATATTTATTATCCATTTTCTTAGTATTAACTAGTATCAGGCCTACATGTGCAGCCGTTGATGTGTACTTCAGTGTGAGGTGCGTGGTTTAAAAAAGACCTGGTCGCTGTTGTTCTGTGATGTGCTTCTATTACGAGACTATCCATCCTGCCGGCATCATCGGTGCGACGTCGAAATACGGTGATGTTCATGATAATCATATCACGTATGTTGTAGGTACATCGAATACGTGGGAAGCGCGATAAATTATAGTGAGGTTACACAACTGATCTGACAATTTGTTTACGAAATTGGTTTGCTACTAGTTATCAGTTTGGGAGGCGGGTTGGGTACTGCAATTATTTACTTTGTTTTGTGTGTTTGATTGAGCTTGCATTATAAGTATTTGTTGGTGGACATTTATATATATCATCTTACATTCAGTTATATAGGAGCGTTGGGTACAAATGTAGAACTTACCCGTGGCTAATAAGTTTATGCTGGGGTTTACTAACGTCTGGGTTTTTTGGTTTTGTGTTTTCAATCCTCTCTTCGTGAATTTCTGTGCTTCCAGGTTCGTGTGATCGCCGACAGTTTATTATAATGTGGAGAGGTTCTTATACAGTGAGTATAATACGGGCGTATGAAAGGAAAACTCTCTGAGGAGAATCACTAATGAACAGTCATCTGCGGCAACCAATTTTTTATTTATAGTTACTATAGATATCTATGTTAAGATGTAACCGTCTGGTACGCATTTGTTGGGTGTGAAGAATAAGATTTCTGACAAAAATGTTCTGCTTAATATTAGTAATAGGGGTGAGAGTTTATGATTTATAAGGCGAGCGGTAGGTACAGTGTAAAGCTTAGGGAGAAGTGTGTGGACGTAATTTTATTGGTAAGTTCAGTGCAGTGTTCTGGAGTGCATATTTACACGAGCTAAAGAATTATATTCTTGACGTTTATAGAATAGTAAGTCAGGGTAACGAGTTATATGACGCAAACGGTACTTAAAAGATATCTTTCTTATCTTTTATCGTGAAGAACAAGACTTATGATAATAATCTAAGGATATGATTATGGTCCATAGCGGCATAATAGAATCTATGTGCATAAGAAGAAGAGACCTAAGTTTCCATTAGTAAGAAGACTTACATACTTACGAGAGCTGTTGATATTCAAGATATTGACATATCTGGCGTGCGCGATGTTGTGTCAACTGGGTACTAATGGTGTGTTTAGTGCCACTTTCTCAATTCCTCATTTCTTCGAAACTAGCTTTTGGTGGGTTGTTTTTGTATATATCTACAACTGACTGTGTCGCCGGTGCGAGTGGAGTCCTGCCATTAGTATGAGCATGTGACGCTTAAATTTAGTCTATTTGTGAGTTCGCGTCCTGCAAGGTGCTATCCTAGACGGCTTCTTTTTGTATGCGCGTGTGCGCAAAACATAGGGTAAAGTAATCCTTCAGTTTGCAGCCCAAACTTAAGAACTCCAGGGTTCATAATTTTCTGATTTGTAGCAAATAGAGGCCTATGTAGGGTTGCTGATGTGCATCGATACGTGGTCAGTTCCTATTGATGTGGATAACGGCGGTGAATGCGTGGCCATGCGCTGCCTTGTACATTAGTGATGTCCGTGGGACTGTGGTTCGCTTCGACGCTATTACATACTAGTTCTTCTGCAGTTCGGCACTTGTTGTCGACGCTCTCCCATGGGGAGCGCGTCTTGTTTTTCTTCCGGATGTGATGTGCTAATTCCGTGTGCACAAATCATAATTCCGTGGCCATATTCAACGACACAAACACTCCTGCACCTCTGGCAGAGGGACCGTGCTGGTGTGGGCGCGAGAGCATGTCGCGTGTAAGAGCTCGTTGCTTGGACCGTGGCTATAGGTGTATGATCATTACAAGAAATCAATCTGCGGTGGCCGAGTAAGATGTAAACGGAAGTTATGAAATTATTCAGACGGATTTGAATTAATGGCAAACCTGTGTCTACAAATATTAATAAATTAATATAATACGATGAACACCTA